TTATTTCTTTCATATCCTCTATTTCTGAATAGTTTCTATATTTGGCCCTATAAACTGTTCCATAACCACCAGATCCGATCTCTTTGATTTCACTAAAGTCGCTGTACTGCATGTACTTAACATGTTTGTTACGTTGTGTAAAGCTGTCCAATATTGCATGTACGTCATAGTAGAATACTAAATAATAGTTCCGAGTAGATGGTTCTTGAGTGATTCCAACTATCCAAATATTCTCAGGAGTTAATATCTCCGGGTATTCCCGAGTTAGCTATTTGAGTAAATGAAACGATCAATGCAACAATCAATGCAATGCATACTTAATACAATTCGCATAATCATATACGTGAAGTAAATTTACCTCATGAAAATCAAGCGACTGGGCATCATCTATCTGCTTGAGTGTTACTCTGATCAATTTATTTATCGTTAGATCTAACCACTCTGCTACATACGTGCATCCACGATGTAATGATGTCATCATCTGTACATCAGTCAATAAGGAGTATTCTATCCATTGTATGTATGCGTCATATAAGCTCTTCGTATTCCTCCACGACTCCATAATAAATGAATCCAATGACTTGTCACCCGTTGTCCAATCAACAGGTCTTGGAGCTTTACATTCATAACAAAATGCCTTTATCAGAGGGTTTAATCGCTTCGTACACGCCAGACATAATTCATCTTCGCATTGTTCTTTTATTAGATAATACTTTTGTTCGCTTGCTTTGTATGTAAATCCTTTGGTAACCCAAACATCCATGGTAAGAATATCAGGATGCTTATCACATAACTAGTGGAAAAAATAATAAGTCAATAATTATTTAAAAGATTCAATAAACATGACGTAAGTAAATAGTTTACCTCGGCATAATATAAATCATGTGTCTCGTCTGTTATCTCAAGTGAAATCAATTTAACCCTATGGTAAGTAGGTAGACCACGTAAGCCTCGACTTCCATCTCCCCAATCCCAATCTCTAGTACAATCGAATGGAATCCATTCCAAATAGGCGTCATTTGCAGAGTTTGTTTGTAGTTGGGATTTCTTTATAAACTCATCGAGCTGCGTATTGTTGCTAGTCCATCCATCGGATAGCTGTTTGAGTCCGCAGATGCACCACACGGGACTGCATCGGAGTAGTCCACATGCAGCGCAAAATCCATATCGAGAATAACAATGGTAAAAGAGTTTATCAGCGACCATGTAATAGTTGTCATCATACTCGGTAAATCCTTTTATGAGTCTGTTGCGATAAGCAAGCCATATTCTGTATCTTCTAAATTGACTGACATCGTTATCGTATTTGTGTGTTGGAAGTGAGTATGTTCTAGCAAACTCGTTCACGAATGTTGGTGAACATGTTTCATTATTTCCAATTAATACCAGAATTATTTGCGTAGATCCCAGAATAGCATGGTAGACGGTATCGACTTTACTTGACTTTACATCGATCATATCAGAGCAATCGATCCATTGAAGTCTTAAATCCTCATATATATACCCACTTTCTAAGGAGGATTGAATCAAGCTGTCAATTGCTGGATTATTAACAATCCCTGACGGTAACGACGACGACGACATGATATAAGTTTAGATCAAATTTTTACTCAATGTCTCATACTTATTGTGTCACATTCCATTGTGTAATAAGGGTTCGCAGCATGGTACAAGTACGCATTCAAAATTTAAAACGCCATTTCGTTCTTTAGAAAATTCAAAGTTTAGTTCATATTGTGAGCAGAAATTTGAAACAGCCCTTTCTGGTAAATTTATCTTAAATCTGGCCCATTTATTAAGGCCTTAACAAAATGAAGATCTCTAAAACGAAAAATATATTCGCTCTGGTAGATTCACAAAACGTACTCAACACTGTCGAGTTAATTGAGAGCATCGATTATAAAACTATCTTCTATCCCGAATTCCATCCTGGGTTAAGTTTTATTGAGCAATAATTGGGGCCGTTGCTAAACGATATACACGACAGAACGATTTACGATTTAATATAGTTGATCGTTGACATTTTCAGTAATGATTTTCCCATGAAATGTCCCCCATGCAGATCATGAAGGCCGCGTCTCAACATAACTACTGCAGCTCACCCCGCGCGTCCTTCTTTGAGCATTCTCTTCTGCAGTATCCGCTCTCTTATACAGAATCGTATGGAAGACGCAGCAGCCACAATCTTTATACTACTCTCCGTCTTTATACTCTAATCAACAGCCATACCCGCCTCACAATCACGACTTATGGCTGCGTCGCTGACATTCTCTGCATGCCTACTCCGCACGATTAACAACAGCAGACCTGCAGCCAACAACAACTGCAGCGAGCAATCCCACAGTCTTCACAACTACAGCGAGCAATCCCAGTAATCTTCACAACTGCAGCGAGCAATCCCACAGTCTTCACAACTCTACAGCGAGCAATCCCAGCAGTAATCACAACTACAGCGAGCAATCCCAGCAGTAATCACAACTGCAGCGAGCAATCCCAGTAATCTTCACAACTGCAGCGAGCAATCCCACAGTCTTTACAACCGCAGCGAGCAATCCCAGTAATCACAACTACAGCGAGCAATCCCAGCAGTCTTTACAACCGCAGCGAGCAATCCCAGTAATCACAACTACAGCGAGCAATCCCAGCAGTCTTCACAACTGCAGCGAGCAATCCCAGTATCTTCACAACTGCAGCGAGCAATCCCAGTAATCTTCACAACTGCGAGCGATCCCGATAATCTTCACAGCTACAGCGAGCAATCCCAGTATCTTCACAACTGCAGCGAGCAATCCCAGCAGTCTTCACAACTGCAGCGAGCAATCCCAGTAATCTTCACAACTGCAGCGAGCAATCCCAGTAATCTTCACAACTGCGAGCAATCCCGATAATCTTCACAACTGCAGCGAGCAATCCCAGTATCTTCACAACTGCAGCGAGCAATCCCAGCAGTCTTCACAATTGTAACAACAGTCTCAACAGCAAAAGCAGGATTTTTTTTCTTGATGTAAACTGTTCTCTAGAAATTCCAACAGGATTCTGGTGGGCCGCTAGTCTCGAATATTTGACTCGTACGAATATGTAATGGTGATATTCGGAATACTTTTTGTCTGCCGCTTTATGAAGCACCGCACCGCAAATCAAATACTCGACAAAGGGAGAATATCCCAGATGAAAAACGCCGAATAACCGAGATACGGCAACTCGGATTATGTCTTGCAAAGATTAAAGTTTCCTGGATAGCTTCTTTAAATATAGTTCGAGTAGAATGTTATAAAAGACTCTCCCGACCATACGCACACTTTATTAAAAGTCGATAGGATAAAACGGTCAATAGCTATCAGACATTTAGTTGGCCTAACCTCTCTTGATTATCACTGCTTGTTTATTTACTACCATGCCATGCAATCACATTTTTTCAGGAATATACGTATGGCAATAAACTATTGAACACTGATGTATGGTAAAATGTTTGAAGAAAGTGGGTTTGACATTTACGAAAGTCGTGAATCTTTTATAGATTGAACAATAAGAAAAATCCAAGACTGAATTAACTGAAAGGATACGTGATCGATACTTGTCTGTTGAAGAGATGGGTGATGTTGACACGACAATGCTTTACTTCAATGTTACAAGATTCTGTGAATCCGATTATCTTGCAATTCGATAAATGGAAAGGAACTTGATGCCAATAAATTGTAATTGAGTAATACTAATAATGGCTTTTCTTCACGTCCGTTCAAAATCACATGATTTTCCTGCTTTTAAATAAAAATGGCATAACGTCATACATGACTACATATTTTAATTTGTACCCCCCGCCGACTGAGATAATCACAAACTCTTTTGCAGCGAACATGCCTGAACTTATCAACGCCAACCCGACTGTCTATATCCCTTCAAAGCAGTCCTATCGTGTCACTCGTGCTGAGGATGACAATGACGACGTCGACGATGTCATTGATTCACAAGAAGTTTTCGGTAATTTACATATTATTCGTTTTACAGACTGGGGTATTATTACCAAGAGAGCCCGTTTTTTTTCCTTCTAAAACTCCTCGTTCCTCCTCCCCTTTTTTTTCCAGACCTAATTCGCGCGATATCGGATCCAGAGCATCCTTTAACACTCGAACAATTAAACGTTACACGACTAGAGCACGTAACAGTAGACGACAAGAATAGCCACATAGCAGTCGAATTCACTCCTACGATTCCACATTGCTCGATGGCCACGCTAATCGGATTGTGCATCAGAGTACGACTGTTGAGAAGTCTGCCCGAGAGATTCAAGGTCGATATTAATGTGAGAAAGGGAACTCATCAGTCGGAGCAGGCTGTTAATAAACAATTGAATGACAAGGAGAGGGTCGCTGCTGCATTGGAGAATCGTCATCTGTTGGAAGTGGTCAATCAAGTAAAGTATTGTAATTGTATCAATTGATATGTCATTAAACTAGTCTCTATTAACATGATGTACTTTTCTTCTTCTTCTTTTCTTAGTGCTTGTCGACAGCTGGCAACCGGAAAACATGATCCGTTTCTTTTGTTCATTATACTGTACATTAATATTATTTAATTAATTCTATTAAATGACTCCATCATTGATGTTTTTTATTAACTTTATTATTCTTTTTTATTAGATAAATCCCTCCAAATTTGTCAATGCTTTTGGTAGACGAGATAATGATAAAATGTCAAGGGATCATTAATATTATAGCTGTTTTTTTCTTGTTTGTTTGTTGTTGTTTTTTTCTTTTCAACGGTTAAGCAATCTCTAAATCTCTCTATAATTATGAAATTCTATACGATGCAATATCAAAAAAGCCAAGATAAAAACATTGTCCTTTGGAGTAGAAAATAAGTGGTCAGGTAGTCGTAAACAATCGTTTCATCCTGTACAATTAGTAAATTTTCAAAGAATGGCTATGGGATACAACGATATGACAACTAACAAATGAAAACAAAAGAGAGTATTCGAATAATAAATTGGTTTGCATGAAGCATTACGTTCTACTTTGGTGTCGCATGGAACGGAGATATGGTGGATCTATTATCTTTCTGCTTGAACTGACAGAAAAAGAAAATATAACGGTTAATATGCTTGAGCTAATCAGAACGGCGGTGCGTAACAAATCCACAACTCACCTTGGATCAATCGTATTTAAAAAAGCTGTAACCTCTTGCCGCTTCTTGGAAAGCTTTTCCTTTATTTTTCTCTTCGTCCCTCCTAACCCAGCAGACAGCTGAATGGTCACACTCTCCATATCGGACGTAACGGATGTCCGCTCACTTGAATAATCGTTCATCTGGCCATCCAATGCATTCTGGAAATCAGTCACCTTTTTGTCCGTTTTCTGCAATTCACCCGAGCCATTTTCCATCGCCATTATCGATGTGAATCTATGAGCATCTGCCATATCTGCTGCTCGTATTCTATAGACTTCGCGTTTAATATTCTCAAACCCTCCTTCGGGTGTCCATTCGGTCATCAATTTCTCTGATAGATTCGAGCCAACAATCTCGCCGAGATCTTTAAGATTAACAAGGTGGGCTACTATGGCTGAGCGATCGAGCCAGAGGTCAACCGGAGCAAGGTCAGACTCGTCGATGGTGGGAGTGGGTGGATTTATGTCAAGAGACCATTGGTTCTTGGAGAGGCGTTCATCTTGAATCTATGAGAAAAATTTGGTATTAGAAATAGGTAATTCGCATATCAAACAATACGTGAGAATCAAACAGATTAGCGCATTATACACAAACGCGCAAGGCGTGATATAGCTTAATATTATGTCTCACCTTTCCGAGATACGTCTGTAAATCAGGCAAATCAAACATTGTTGCAACATCTTGGAAATATCGCAATATGCCACTTGCAAGTGCTCGTTGCCGAACACCATCGACATGCAATTCTGCAGCATCCGACTATCAAGATGAATCGAGTGAGCAAAGAGCACATGTAAGCACACACGTACATGTATAATAGCTTACCTGTAACTTGAACAGAAAAGGTACGGCTCTGACAAGTTGCTCGCCTCTAAACCTAACCAATAGTGCTTTTAAAATGTCCAACAGTGCAATATAGTCCGAAGCCTCTGCGTTATCCAGTAAAGCATAATGATACAGGGATACGTGTATCATATTCAAAAATTGTATCGTATCTTTACTGAGATGCTTTAAACAGTCTTGTGCACTATCCCTCAAGTTCTTTGATATCTCGCTGTTAAGGAACATTACCAAGACACTCGTGTAGGCCCTTCTTACTCTGACGTCAGTGTCAAGACACAGTTGCAGACTATCCTGAAATACTTCAACCGGTACTTCGATAGGAAGTGATTCGAGCTGATTTTTTTGAACAACTAGACTAAGACATTTAAGGAGTGTTTTACGTTCTTCAGGTGTCGGCGTATTTTCGGTTATTGGATTATCGATGCCCGAAGATGGAAGTGCCTGTTCCAAGCATAGACATTTGACTATGTGATGTATGATGTCCGTTATCTGGTTATTGTAATAAATGTGGGTCGCTAGACCGCCTGGTGCGTAAAAAAAAGAAGCGTAAATACATGACAGTTTTAGAAAGAAATATTTCACACAGCGACAGACAGCATTGCTTACCAATAGACCTGTACAGCTCTTGTAAAGTAATCTTTTCTAATTTATTCTCAGTTCCATTATCAACCTTTTCCATGTTCTCTTGGTTGATCTCTTCTTTAAGAGAGCCTTTCTCATCGATGAAATTGTCCGCTTTTCTCAATTTTAATACCAAGCGTAGTAAACAATCCAACACCTCTAAAATGGGTAATCCCGCGAGAGTTAATGGGCTGGTAAGAATGGATGAGAGCATCTCCACCAAAGTTGCTTTTTGGGGAGTGAATTCGGGCGTATATTCTAGCTGTCCTTTTATAACTGATACAAGAGTATATCGATCTTGGGGCTATTGATAAAGAGAAGCAGATTAATGAAAATCATGTCAAAGGTAAATTATAATTATACATCGATACTTACTGGTAGCATGGACAATATACTCAGAACGAGGGTGATTCCAAATGATTCTGGCCACCACATTTTGTTTTTATCCAAAAAGACAAATATTGGTTGTACCGACCATTCGACGTGGATGAGCTTTGATGGATTGAATAATTGTTTCAGGCAATGATATGCAAGGCGTGCGTTAGCCTCTGCTGTTACTGCCTCTATTGTTATAGATAATCTTTGGTTTGGCATAGACTCGTGGTCGAGTGAATCACTAGTAAATATGCAAAAGTAATAATGGTTATTAATAGATTATATATGATATGGTGATATGCTGAAAGTGTCAATATCCATAAAAGTCGTCATGATCAAAACAAACACTTACCGTTTTTGCAACGCTTCAAGGCCGATACTCGGATCAGTAAGATTGTATAATATGGCAGGGACAATCGATTCAAGCTGAGTCTGTGAATAGTTTGCTGACGATGTCGTCACCGCTTGTAAAGCATGTAAACCGATCGAACGATACCTAGCCAATACAATGAATCGAAAACGGGATTAGACAAGAAAATTAGTAACCCAACAACCGGAAAAAGATTTTGATTGTCCACATGGCTTATTAATACCAACCTCATCTCAATGTCTTCATCATCGCCTTTGCGCTCGGCGTATTTTGAAAACAGTCTGATCAACTCTTCGTAGTTTTGGGTAAACTCATTGTCAACACCGAGTGTAGAGCCATCGTGATGTGCGCAAAATATGATAAACTATTCGAATAATACAAATTAACACAACCATAAACATTAAATATTTACAACAGAATAATAGTGGGATAGCGTACAGTAGAGGCAGCACGGCCGACCAGATCAATATCTTCCGTATTCAAAGTAGCGATAATGATTTTGACAACATTTTTGGAGAACATATTGAGGCCTTCATTACATTCCCTTATGAGTGTCTTTATGATTTCCAGGGAGATTCCTAGATCTCTACAATTTTAAAACAAGAGGGTCATAGAAATATTAGTGAGGGCTTGTTATCACATAATGTGCTTTAAACGACCCAATATAGACTCTAATCACATTCACACCACTCGAGTTGAAATTTCTCACACTTACTGTTTCTTTTTCTTCGCCACGTCGCCACTGATTCTCTTTTCCAGGAATACCCCACATTTAGTCAGTTTTGCGGGTCGGGATTTGGCGTACCATACCAAACGCGATAGTTCACTAGATTTTGGGGAATTTTCTTCTGGATTTGTGGGATAGCAGTTGTTTATAATGGTAGCATGTTTTATCCAACGTTGACAAACTGCTGTACACATTTGGAGTTGTTTATACTATGGTACGTTCTATAAAAGGGGAGGAAGGGATTGTGAACTATAAATTACAAGGTATAGTTGAGTGAATGTAAAACGTGAGGTGGTCTGCTATATTTAGATATAAAACCCAGTACAAAAGATCGGGATGTTTTAGATTTGTGTGATAATATTTATGCGATGCGTTGTTGTTTGCTGGATATCTATCAGGAAGGAAAAGGAATGGCGTATATGGCTATAGAGCGAAATTTCAAATAAGGAAAAGAGAATGATGGGAAGGAATTACTAGCGGCCCGAAAGCATCGACCAAACAGTTTGATATGTAATCGTCTGTGCCCAATATGACAGATGTCATACAAGCCAACAATGTCACCAATTAGACGTTAAGTTTTTCATATGAGATGAATAAATAAAGTTAAACAAAGGATTTCCCCAAGCTGCGCAAAGAGAAAACGAAAACTCAATACCAAAAGGTTCAATTTAATCGAGAAACAGACTCGGCCCAGCCCAAGAGGGGCGGCGATACTAGCTTGCCAAGAAAGCATTACTAATTATTGATCGAATGAGCTAAAAAACCAGACAATATATGCTCATCATCTGGTGCAGGTGCCACATTTCTAATCATAATGACGTTTTCATCTATCTGAGAATTTATGTTAGGTGTTACCGACTTGCACTTATTAGTCGCGATATAACAACTATCTATTCCATTGAAACAGGACCAAATATTGGTGTTGAATAATATCTCTGTTTGCCTTTATTGGAAGGCACGTGAGAACATTTGATCATGTGAGCTAAAAAAGTGATGATCAGTAAATCGTTTCACAGATCTGATGCGAGGTAATCGGGCAGCGGGGTATGACTTTACAAGCTTTCTTTGGTCTCTTGGTTTAAACTTTTACATTGTGAGGCATTCATAGTGAGAGTCGGCCCAGCGTTTGCTGAGAGCAATATTATATAGTTATATTATGTAATGAGCAAAAGAATTGTCCCTTACTTTACTGAGGGATGCCATTCCAATACTAGTTCAATCGACGTAACTCGAAGCTTTTCGACTGTCTGAAATAAATACGAAAAACCCAGATTATATTGTGCTCTTTAACAGAGAGGGCACATACGACGAATTGGTTGATATGATTAGGCGATATACAAAAAATAGCGTAATGCCGTTGATATTATCGATAAGAATTTGCAAGGCCGACAGTTCATTGTAATTGACTTGACTAGAGCAAAAGAGGATTCTCATCATATTCGTTTGGGTTGTGACCATGCTTTGAATAGAATAAGATAAATAAATTAAAATTATAAGATGCGAGTATTCTTTCCGCTATTGATATAGTCGAGCTCTGTGCGTAAAATTTACAAGTTCTGACGTTACTCAAGCAAGAAAATCTGAGATTGCTGTTTTCGTGAATAGTTCATAAAAGTGCCGAAAAAGGGGAAAAGGAAAAAAAAGTGATCCATCCGATGATGTAAAGCATCGAGTTTATTAATGCAGAAATAAAATTTACCAACGTGGGGATTCTTTTTTCTGTTACTATTACAGTGCAAATACAAAAAATGCACAGTGTGTGACAAAGTTTTTGATTTTTTTTTTCGCGTATTTCAAGTATTGATACTTTCCCAAAATAAAAGCAATGCGCGTTATATTTTTAAACGTGTAAACAACGTGCCCTAAACTGTAAACAAATAAAGTATTAAATAATGGTGTGTTTGGCATGTGTTGAGAAAGTGCTTTTACAATAACGTCTTCTAATAAATAAAAATGATATTACACTTGTGGCCGAATGGAATCACTTTTGCAAAGAAATACATTCTAGGACTGGTATCGTAATGTCGACAATCTATTATAATTTAAACAAAGTTGAATAAAAAATGGGACCATTCAAGAAAGTTAGTAAGTGGTCGTCCCAAGAAAGTTGCCGCACGCGAATCAAGAGATAGAATTTCGAACAGCATTCTAATTAACTGTATCGGATCAGTGAGAAGGAGATGTGAGCTAATGATAGAAAACAACGGTAAAAGAATAAATGTTAATTTTGTATCAATAAAATCTGTAGGTTTTGAGCTTTTTTTTTATGCGCTAGTTTTTGAGTAACGAATAAATAAAGAATTCGAAAAACTTTTGTTGCACACTGCATATGATTATTTACGTATATAATATCCTTCTTACATCATCTACGATAACCTGATCTTTCAACAGCCCCATCTTTTAAATATCTTCGGTAAGTCCGAACATTGTAGTTGGCTTTTGTACAGCAACTCCGTTCTGGTGTATACAATATAAAATGCCAATCTGTAGCCAAAGATTGATGGCATAAGTTTGCTGCTGTACTACCTTGCGAAGTAATATTCCCTCATTACTTACCAGTACTAACAATACCGTATAGTAATAGGTAGTCAAATTCATCACCAAATAGTAATAAGCTTCACTTTCGCTTGCTCTTGTTTGTGTGGTATCCGTTATCATGTATAATATTTCGCATAAATCCTTGAGCCAAATCACTTTGTTTTCCCTCAGTAATGCAAATAAGTTCTCTTCTTGGGTATTAAAATATTTTTGATAGTGTAATCAACTCGGCCCGTTGATCTTCCTATGAGATTTTTTTGTTTTGGCCATAGATTCGATCTTTTATTTCTACTCGGAGCGGGGTGTTATGATTATGATTACTTAATACCATAATAATAATCTGGTGTAATCTCTTATTATTATGTCTTTGGGTTCGAGGCCTTTGCGCTTAATTGTTAAGTAGTTTCTGCGATGAGTGATTTAAGGTGATCATTATATTTTATGCCCCACTACTCATTCCTGTTTCATTCATGCCAATTATAAATCGAATAGATATTTTTTTTCCATAACCTGGTAAAAACGCAATACCGGAATTGTTTGGATGGTTGTCATATTAGATACCCCATCCATATTTACTAGGCTCTTCATTTTTACCGGAGATTATATTCTTCATATGCCATAAAATTGTATACATAATATCAGAATTAATCTCTTTGCTGGTTGGGCTTTGAATCCTAGAAAGAGATTCAAAAATTTGGTATTAGGTAAGGTATGGTAAGATATCAACATTATGATAAAGAATCAAAACTTCTGGTAACTGTAATGATTTATCAACGACTTTAATTCAATGATGTTAATTTGGCAAGATCTACAGTATTAGTATTTCGGTGCCATAGATTATCCACTCTGCTTATTACTATTAAATGTCATAAATGATGTAAATAATCCATGATTCCAATTGGACAAAATGGCTGCACTATAAAATATCTTGATATTTGAGAAGCATACGTTTGAGCCTATTGAGAGATTAAAATATGATTTTGAAAAGTCAAGCGATGGATATGAGCGGCAAACTGATGGGGGGGGGGGGGGGTGGCACAGGTCCCGATGTTGATCCAACGACCAGACAGGAGTGAGATACCTTGCCCCGACTAACCCATGGGGTTGGAGGGTACGCTCCTTGCCCGAAGGGGTCCCCCTGTTGAACGAACCGGCACAAGAATAAGAAATTATCATTTTGTGGTAATGCTTTTTCATAAAGTATGTCACCAATTATACTGTACTTCTGCAGGCAAATAATTCTGCAACTTGATTATAAGGCCTTTTGGCTTAACCAGACAAATTTTAATTTCCTTTCTGTAAGCAATGAGGGAAACTCTGGAATTTTATTATTATTACATTTTACATAGCGTTAAGTGTAACCAGCAAAATTTTGACCGAGCCGTTACAATTTAATTAACGATAGCCGGTATATAATAAAGAAAATTTTATACGCGTCAAAATCGTTCCGGAATTTGACCATTATTATTATAGCAACAACTTATATATCCGGGAAATGGGTTGTTTAACGAAAGGGAATTCAGGATATCAATTTTATCATGTAATAATTTAAGAGAGCTTATTAATTTAGTAATAGTAATAGACAAATGTGATGCAAAGAGCTTAGAAATTGCTCAGCGGTAACATGATTCTGAAGTGTTGCTAAACACGTGAGAATACTTGAACACAAAATTTACATAATTTAAAGTCGGTAAGCAAAAAAAAAACAAACAAACTAACTAATACTTTATAACAGGTTGACATTCTAATTCCACATAAATTTCTACAAAATAAAAATATCGATTATTTGCAACGGTGAACCATAGGATATTAAATGCAAAGGCGTCACAAACTTGGTTAGTTGCACACAGTATATTGTGATCACTTTCTCTATTCATAACGAACCAAATAAGGAACATTATGAATAAACAAGCGCCCGCCTCGCGTTACTGAATATGCTTATGCTATACTGTGAATGGGGACAATCTAATCAAGCAAGACCATTAAAATCTGTAATTATAGCTTTGAAATTCTGAAATGACCTATATCAACTATATTAATATCCCACACTTCATATATATTACGTTTATGAAAAATCTTTTTCTTTATTTTTGTCTTTACCTTTACAACCTGTTTATCGTAAAATTTGCCGGCTGATGGATAACATCACGAATTTATATGCTTAATTACAAAAGTGTGTTTGAAGACTATGTATGATATAAAAGCGCCTATAAGGCTTATTTGACAAGAAATGTGCATCGTAATAATTTTTTCTACATAGAGATGCTCATAAATGTTTATCTACTTACAATCATATATACTTATGCTAATACATGTTTTTGAAATTATGTAACGGATAGATCACCTGACCTAATTGATCCCTCGGTATGTAATTCATGCAATTATCCTGATCCACAGGATACTGCCTCAGTATAAACTCATCCTGATCAAGCAGATATTGTTCCGTAATGGGTTGTTTCTGATACTGCTCAGCTATTACCTGCTCAAGTATAAGATTGTCCAGCGGATATTGATCATCGATAACCTGATCCAGTAGATATTGTTCAAGCACAGTCTGATCAATCGGCGACCGATGCCGACCAGCCATAATTTGATTCATGTCTGACTGATACTGCCAAGCGAGATCATGATTCACCGTATGGTGTTCGATAATAACCTGATTTGCTGGATATTGTTCAGTTGGATATTGATTCAAAGGAGACTGCTCGGCGATAATGTAGCTCATTGGAAATATTAGCTGATCCCATTCAACGACCGATTGACTTGTTGGCTGATACGACCCAGAAATGCCCTGATCTACTGGCGGATATGACCCAGAGATGACCTGATCCTCTGTCTGGTACGACTCCTCGGGAATGACCTGATCGACCGTCTGACAAGTCTCAGAGATAACATCATTCATTGACTGAGATATAATCTGATTTACGGGATATTGCTCAGCAACAGCTTGACTCGTCTCTGATTGATATTGCTCACCGATATCGTCATGCACATTCCCGCACTCGTTCTCAACCTCCCCATCGCAAACTTCTCCACAATCGTCTGTTCTGTTCTCTTGCTTTCGGTTTGCGTTCTTATTATAGCTCCTACGCGTCATGATCTTATCTTCGTTTACCTCGATAAACAATAATTGGGATTTCTTTTTCTGTCTTCTCCCTCTCGGTTTGTAAGTATATTCGGGATGTACAGTTTTATGGCGCTGCAAAGCCAACTTGGAAAGTGCGTTAAAATAGCGCTTTACCGTAAAGGGCTGACGTTTCCAGTCTTCACTAGCCATCTTTGATATTTCTTTAAGATCGTAGGATTTCCCGGGGAATTTGGCACGCAGATTGCTTGCGAAAGCTATTCGGAAAATAAGCCATAAATTTTTTGCGCGGGGAGGAGACTTTTTTCGGGTACGACAATCCAAGAGTGTATTGAGAGGGACATTGTGATGATAAGGCGGGTGCCGTACAAGATTATGTTCGGCGGCAGTAAGCACCGTAGATGTGTATGGAGTCGTTACAGAAGACGGGTCGTTGGAAGAACACGTTCTGGGTGGCTTTATCCGAACGTAAGCCATTATTTTTTTCTTTCACCAGGAAGACTTGGTATTTATAATTGATTTATTTTACAAACACAGCAGCTATGGGTGACTGCGATATGGCGTACCGATTATGATGATTTGGGGATGTTGTCTTTAGAGGTCGAATCAATTTGTCAACCGTATGATGTTTACATTGTTCGTGATGCCTGTTGCGCAACATTTAAACACGCATAAGCTTGCATGTAACAAGAAAGAGATATGTATGATGCGTTCTATCGCAATGACTTACCATTGGGCGAATGCGGCTATTATCATTCTCATCTCCTTCCATCTGTGTTAAAAGCGGAAGCGTAAAGGTCGATTTAATTTCTCTCTCGACGTTATCATCCGCTTTGGTATAAACAGCCAAGTCAACGGTCTGGTTATATTGCCGCAATTTAACCAATTCAAAATAACGCGGACAAATGAAGTGAAAGAATGATGTTTAATATTAGTACATAGAACCAAACGTTTTATGTTATGATTATTACGGCAAGCTCCATTGTAAAGAACTAAACAATGTCGCATTATAACTAAATGGATAACGATCTTCCCTTGAGATGCATACCATTACATGACACAAAAAACACCAATGATTGATTATTTATTTTAAGCAATTTATTCGGCGCTCATTTGATTGGTTCAACGAAATAAACATTACCTCCCTCTTCCATTGTTAATTGTGCAGGATACGTTCATTCCTTCTCAGATGACGATAAAGGTTAGTTTCGGCGAGTATGAATCAGGACCTGGACACCCACACCCATTAACAAGCTTGCGTATGTCGACGACCAAGATCATTAATCGTTGGATGTCTCTAGAAACTCTAGTTTCGACTTTACAAAGGAAAGCTTGCCTGCGTCGTACCTGCATCAATGAAGATTTATTCGGGTGGTCAAAGACCATATATGGTAGACGAAATAAGCAAAGGGCACAGGATATGAAGTACCAATAATTTTTAAATATAAATGCAGCTAGCAGTAAATCTCCTGCCTGCCTAATTATAATATGATGTCAAATATGAATTGATTTACTGACGAATGGTCCTTGTTGTCAAATGCAGGGCGTGTGAGATTAGGCGATTTTTGAATCAGGTCGTTCTGTAACGTCGCATCTTTTTGCTTATGACGAATGGTTTCTGCCCTTGTTATTTCTCCTTTTATTGTGATCTACAAACCTTATTTAAAAATAACTCGGGTGCATTATGATTAATAATAGGTGGTATTAAGCGTAAAGATTGTTATCTTGTGTTTCGACTCACGAGTTGATAATAATCCGTGACGGAATCAAAATATGGAATTTTCCGTCTCTTGGATAATTCACCCTTCATTGGTGAATTTACTTGTCAATAAACGATCTAGGTTGTGTTTGTGTATACTGATACAAGGGGAATAACATAGTGAGTCTCGATCGTTGATTTGTTTTACGGAAAGAATACAAGTTGCTAATACTAATGTTGCTAGATGCATAGCATTGTCACTTAGTTTTCGCAGATGATCCAGACCTAAAAGGTGATTTTTAATGGACGGGGTTAATAGGTGAGGATGGATTTTAATCATTTTTTTTTTTCTCTTCCCCAAATTAATAATCCTTGGCAAATCTGCAACACAGTCGATCCGTGCTTCTTGTGACTAATTATCTTGGCATTTTCACATGACGCAATATACTCAGTGTTGCCAATTGGTACATATTGATACATGCCAAAATTGAGTCTTTTTACACGACGCGATTTCTGAAAAAAAAAAGTTGGCGTAACTAGAGAAGGGGCAATGTAAAAATTAGACCATTAATAGAGCAAGAATTCATATGTATTGTTCGCCAAATTGAAACAAGTATAGGCCGATATAACGACGTTTGTACAACAGTCTTCAACAAAGCAAACATTTCCGGTGACGTCATAAATGTATGCATGTAATCGAGAACGACAACGAATTACAAGTGATCTGTGATAATTTAATTTGCCAGGTTTGTAATTTATTTATTACTCTTCGATTATGAGTTTTAAAGGCAAGGGTATTCTCCAAAACGGAATTGGCCAAGGCCATTTCCGCAGGAGACGCGCCTCGAGTTATTCGATGAAAATTTACAAATAAAAAACCCGTGCTGTCTGATACATTAAAAAAAAAAAGACTATAACAAATACAATATACATGATCTCACCACCCAAATTATTAACCCCAATTGTCCGCTGTTAACTATGATTCAAACTGATATAATAATCCATAGTCATCCTTGTGTGAATATAACCACACATGTTTGTGACCATGCTTGTGATGTTTCTTCAAGACATCCCTTATCTGTATCATATATTCGCGATAATTGGCTGGCACTGCATCGAGAACTAAAACGTGTGTAATAAATGGAATGGGGGGTGTTAAAAATGAATATTACTAATGCTTGTAACTCAATTATGGACGATATATAATTACCCTTTTTAAACGAATCATCCTCCAACACATAACAATTAGATAATTTCTTGAGTAATTCCTTATTTATATCGAGTGCCATAATAGGCACATTGCCAGACTTGATATCATCTATTATAGTATTTATATTCAAATGAGCTACAAAAACAAAAAAAAAAGGGTTAGCTTTTTTAATGTCATTCAAACATTTCCCTAGTCTCTTCATTTAACCATACCTTTATCAATAAGCAATTGTTTCTGTTTATGCTTCATTTTCTTATTAGATTGTAGTGAAACAATAGTGACTGGGAGATTCGAATAATGAGCCGACGATTCAGTTGAAGTTGACTGATTCGCTGGTATAAAGTCTGATGATAACACTAAAAGGAATTATGACTATTAACCTCCGCTCATTAGAGACAAGAAACTGTCTAAAATGACAACGTTAACTTACGCTGATCTGACTGCGATATAGAATGATGTCTATGCATTCTAGCCCCGGATACTTGATCAATCCTCATCTGATCCTGAATCTCCGAACTCAAATACATACACAATTCGGATCGGGGTACTAATATACGTAAATAAAAGAAATTAATCAACTGTCAATTGCCTCACGTCAACTCATCAACCATCGCTGTATTACATAGTTTCATACAAACCTTCGATTTCTGTCTTTCTCAACACATTCTTCACCTTTACGCTAATTCCACTATCGCGTGAATTCCCAGATTTGTTATAATGATCTTGTGACTTGTGCCTCAAGATTGCAATCCAGTTGATGCCTTGATGTCGACAATTGTGAATCAGCATTTCTGGTGTTAGATATGTTCCATCTTCGTACATAAAGTCTGCTTTAATGTTGTGAGACCAGAGTTCTCGAACGACTTCAAGTCGTTCAGCAAGTTGTACTTTGCCAAGGCTAGCTACATAAATGTCACACTAATGTGGGGAAGGGGGAAAATATGCGAGAAACATGTGTGAATTCGTGCAAACATATTGACAAATTTCATCATGTGGGTCCTCAAACTATCTCTCACGCGTTTCTCTTCCTTCGTCTTACCTTTTTGGGCATCCAAATGCCATAACTCTTTTCTTCATCCACGTTTCTCCCCGCCGAATTTTTGGTAAAACAAGCTTGATGATGCACACAAGCATTAATAATCTTTTGTACGGCGATGTTTACTCCAACCGCGAAAATCTGTTTTCTCCCAGTCAAACCCCCAGCAAATCCAATCGGATAACGAAATTGTTGAATGAGCGAATCGTAACGACCACCAGCGGCAAGTATGGATTCATCTTTTCTATTGTTGTCTTGAAGCACTTGAAAAATAATCCCGTTTTTGTAATAGTGATGGTTGTGACTGTCACAAATTTATGACAAGATAGTGAGACAGAGTATAGCATAAAAATCAGCAAGTGTCTCCTAGAAGCACACACACGCGAAAGCTTAATAACTTTACTTACATTAATAAAGGAACAAACACGAGCTGTCTATGCACACCGAGATCTTTCAAATAGGCTGATAACGTTTTTAGTTCGCGGACTGCATCTTTTATTCGAGTTCTCATTGGCTCTACGGGGACCAACTTTTCGAGTTTCTTGTAAACTGTTTCTAATTCACCTATTAATGAGAATGGGTTTATATAAGGTTAACACAATCAGGCGGAACAAAACGTTACCGTTTTAACAAATTGGCATTATAATATTAAACTCATTTCCATTAATTCTTCATCCTAAACGGCACTTTCGCCAAACAACCAACGCTTTTGCCAAACACCCACATACCTCTAAAATCAAACAGCTCCAACTCGTCACAAATGCTCCTTGGCAATTGGTATTCCACCATCAACTGCTTTCTAATCTGCCCTGTTGATACTTTTCCAAGCTTGCTTAAAACGCTGCAAACCCCTCTTCTAATATCACAAGGTACTCGACAGCAGTCAAATATTGCGTCTATAATGTTTGCATGTGTGACATAAAAACAATAATCACCCGCATTCGACAGTGGAAACTCTTCGATAATTTCATCCACAACTTTGAGGACCTCGGCTTCGGGTATCATTGAACAAGTGTTGGTGCTATGCACGATATCGAAATCAACTTCGGCAAAGACTCTTGGTTGGCCTCCGACCGGATTCGTTCGGTATACTTTCCCAAACACGTATCTCTTAATGTCTGTTATATTATGTCTTCCAATGTATCTGGCAAACGGTACAGTCAAATCAAACGGCAGTTGTATTATTGCGCCTTCTGCGTCAAGCAAATAAACCGCTTCTCTATCCTCTTTGTACAGATCTGTCTTTGGCATCAATAACGGTGCATTCAACTCGATGGCTCCATGACGGCGGAATATTTTGACCATGTGGTCTCGAACTTTGCTATATGTTATTTCGTTATATGCGGCAAAGTCAGAATGGCCAGAATTATAATCATAGGTATAGTCCTTGTGTTTGTCACTTTGTTGTGTAAAAAGCGCTGCCATCAGTTTCTGGTAATACGGATTGTTCGGGTTGGCTGGTTGACATATTGGATGGAATAATGTGTGAGAAAATGAGTAAGTAACGAATAGGTTGTGAATAAGAAGAACGCAAATGAGTGAGAATCCCCCTGAACATCTTACTCACCAATAGTCCTCACGCTCTCTTGAATGTACTCATCCTCCATCTTCGGCGGCATGTACTCACATCGCAGCAATTCCATACTCGTTGGTCTGTCTTTTGGATTATGCTGTAGACACCATCTAATGATTGCTTCCTGATTTTTTAACTTTTCGCAGGGAAATTCTTTTGGAAACACGATTTCTGTCCTCCTCAAATCCATAATGGTCGTTCTTCTTTCCATTTCTGTAGAAAAGTTATAACAAATTTCGAAAAAGATAATGCCTAGGGAATATATGTCAACCTTCGCGTTGTAACGAGAAAGGTTGTGAGAGTTGGCGGCGATTTCAGGAGAAACATAGAGAGCTGTGCCAACGCCAGCAGTCAAAGACTCATCCTGTGCTGGTGCGTATTCATAAGACTGGTAGTTTTGAACTTGAGGTGCCGTTATATCTATAAGCGGAGCATTTGTGGTTGCAAGTCCAAAATCACCGATTTTCACATCACCGTTGGCGTCGAGGAAAATGTTACTCGGTTTCAAGTCACGGTGGATCTGTCAAATGTTGTTCAGTAAATAAAAACATATACGTGCAAGACGTCCGGGCATCAGAATGAGTAGTGAAAAGAATGCGTAAGCCTGTCTGTGATATAAAAAGTTGAGCGTTTGAAAAGTGTACGACTAACATACCATGCCCTACAATTGTAAAAAGTGGTTCAATAAGAATTTAAAGCATAATGGTATAAAAATAAAGTGCAACCATATTAGCGTGAGCCTTACTTGACTGTGAATGTGAACCAGACCTTCCACAATCTGCCGAAATAGTCTGTTAATGCAATTTTTAGATAATGTTATTATTATGCAGATATCACACGGATGACGAGTTTTTTGCCCTCACCTCCATCCTTCTTCTTCGGAAATGCCTTCTTCGATAACATCGTGTAATGTCTTTTTCTCACAGTATTCCATCTGTATGTATAGTATCCTAGTCTTCTCTTTTGATGTCTTTTTATCGTTTGTGCTTTTCCCATTATTCCCATTATTCCCATTATTCCGATTATGATTGTTATTATTTTTGTCAGTAGCACCATTTTCGTCCTTTCCAGATTTTACCC